TCCAATCGGTTGCGGCGGTGAGGCCGGCGCTCACCTGCGGACCTGTAGTCGGAACCAAGGCCCTGGAGCCAGTCAAGACCTCGGGAGCAGAAACCCAGCCACGCGATGCTGAGTCTCTCCCTGTGTCCCGGGACAAATCTGTTCTTTCTGCTTTTGAGCCTTGGCACTGCCCTCTACTTGGGCTACTACTGGGCATGTGTGCCCCAGGTGGGTGCGGGTCCAGAGCTCTGGCCGGGGAGTTGCGGGTGCTCGGGTCTAGGGGGCAGCTTCCAGCAGGGAGGCCGAGCCCTTTGTGGGAGCTGGCATGGTTGGGCCTCGCTTCCCAGGTGAAACCTGACGCCCCAACTCCACACCACCCCGCCCCGCGCTCCAGCCAGGCTCACTTTGCTAATCACTGCCTTCTGGAGAGCCATTCCTTTGCCTGCCTAGATCCTCTGCATATCTCCTGCTCCGCTTGCCAGATGGGCCTTTCGGGCATCGGAGGGGTTCTGCTCTCCATGATGTGGACAGACGTTTGGGGAGGCGGGGTGGAAAGGAAAACTTCCGGCGATGTTTCCTTGTCTTCCCCAGCAGTCTAGCGAAGTTCCTCATTAGCTGCACTGAATGAAGGAACCTGAGCCTGGGGGTTGTGGCTAACTCCCAGCACCGCCCCATCAGATAGCAGTAGGCCTTGCTTCCCCGGCTGGGGATTAATGGATAACCCAGCTGCCCTTGCTCATTCAGCCTTGTTTTAAGTCCTGGGCTCTCCATGTCTAGTGAAGTGAGAAAGTATGAAGAGGCTGATTTTGATGAACTTGGAGATTATATTCTCACTGAAATTTAGGTAAAGTACATAATTTACATATCCAGAAAAATCTAAAGATTTAATCTTTATTGAACTCTGTTTTAAGTAGCTGAGTCTAACAAGAAACCTATTGATTCAAGCCCTTTATGAATAGGGAATTTTAATGTTACCTAGACTTTTCTGTATTTCCAGAGCTTTCAACATTCACATATATTTTTTATACAAGAAGTCTGCCTTAATAAAACCATTTAAAAAGTCCAAACCTCACAATACCCTATAAATCTTACTTTATATGTCTGATTTGGAAGTCACTCATTTCAGACCTTAACATTTTCCTTTGCTTGCAACACGCCATGAAGAAGTCAGAGACCTCTGGCACTTCATTCTGCAAACCCTTCCTTGACTTTCACCTACTGGTTAAAATGCAGGAAAAGTGCCATTCCGGAGGCCCTGATGATGTGGCGTTTGTATGGTCTAGCATGGAACAGACTGGTTTTGATTCATCCACAGCAGTGGTTCTCAACCTTCTGGCCCTTTAAATACAGTTCCTCATGTTGTGACCCAACCATAAAATTATTTTTGTTGCTACTTCATAACTGTAATGTTGCTACTTTATGAATCATAATGTAAATATCTGATATGCAGGATGGTCTTAGGCGACCCCTGTGAAAGGGTCGTTCGGCCGCCAAAGGGGTCTCGACCCACAGGTTGAGAACCGCTGATCCACAGTGACCAATGGGCATGTGACTATTTAATTCTCAGGAATGAGGCAAGAAATACTTCACTATAGTTAAAATGAAACCCACATAAATCAAACCTGTGACCTAATTTATTAGGACCTTATTCTACACCACTGAGCTGCTTGACCAAGAATTTAATAAATTGATAACTCAAAATCTTGATGATTAGGAGGTAATATATAGTATAGTGACTAAGAGCACAAGCTCTAGAGTTGAACAGACGTGGGTTTGAATCGCAGCTCCCCCACTAACTAGGTTTAGCAAGCTTCATGACCTTTGACAAGTTACTGGACATTCAAGCCTGTATCCACAGAGGGATCACATTACTTAAAGAGCTGTTGTGAAAATCACAGGATATAATCTTGTAAAAATACTTAGCACAATGCTTGGAACATAATGAGCACTCAATAAATTTTACCTCCTAGTATTAGTGGTAATATAACGTTAATTCTGCTTTGCCTCTTGTTTGCTGTGCGATTTTGGGAAACAGCTTAATCTCTGTGAGTGATAGTTTCTTCACTTATAAAATATCCTATCTCATAAGGTTGGGCTTAGCCTAGTGCCTGAATGTAGCACACAATGAATCACAGGTGTTATCCCGGGGCTTAAGGGCCAGGGTGAGAGTCACATCTCAAACACACTACCAACCTGGCCTCACCAGCTCATCATTTACCTAGCCCCCTTCGAGAACCAAGACTGCAGAAGAGAGAGGAATCTAGTCCTTAGGTTCCTTAGGGCCTGCGACAGAAATGCAATTTCGATTTCGAGTCTGCACAGCATACTCCTTCATACGCCTCCTATGTGGCTAGTCCTTCTCATTCACTTGGTCTACCCGGAAGAACCAAGCAGAGGGGTTGTAAGTCAGGGTGGAGTGCTCACTCACCTCACCTGTCGCTGTTGTCCCATCCCTGTTGCCTTCTCCCCGACTGGCATGAAGGAAGGGGAAACCGAGTCACATGGGGACTAGTCCTCCTTTAGAGTATGGCCTAACAGCAGGGGCCCAAGAGGGAGACAATGAGGTGCTGTGGCAGGAAGAAGCCCTTCAGCAGTGAGCACACAGTAGGGAATAGGAATATGCAGCAATGGGGTGCTCAAATCAGGGAGCCAGCTCGGCTAGCGCTAGTTTTAGAAAGATGACAGTGTGGAAAATGCAACTTTAAGACAAAGGTGACAGGTTGAATGGTGCTACATTTCTTCAGCCTCTGTCTGGGGTCCCAATCCTTCCTGCAGGGGATCAGCTGGGCAATTTATCTGTATTACTGCTCTCTCCAAAGTGGGGCTGGGGCATGGATAGGCTAAGTGGGGGAGTCAGCACCCAGTCAGAAGCTGCAGCTCCCAGCCTGGCTGAGTCTGCAGGGTCAGTTCTGGAGAGGTGACACTCCAGGACGGCAGTTCTCTGGGCCTCTAGCTGGACTGTACTAACACAGGTGACTTGGCCATTCCAGACTAGGGTATGCTAGACTCATTCCCAGCTGAAGCAATGCCCTCTCTGGCTTGGCACAAAAATCAGGGAGTGAGGCAGATTGTATTGTGATTGCAGAGGCCTCAACTGGTGACTGGGTCCCGGTTTCTGGCCTTCCTGGAGCAGCACTGTCCAATCACTGTGGAAACTTTCTATCCGACGCTATGGTGTTTTGAGGGGCGGCTACAAACCATCTTCCGAGCCTTACTGCATCCTCGGCCTCCAGTCTCTTACTGGAGGTAAGAAGGGAGAGAGGGGGGAACACCAAGCTGCAAGTATAGGGCAATCTCTTTTAAAATGAAGGTAATCTTTGCCATCCACCTCACAGTGTGTTGAGGGTAAAAACGAGTGGCTATATGGAGGGCTATTTAACTGCACAACCATGAGGTAATATTGAACCTTTTATGTCCCTATTACACCTTGTTATAGTCTTGTTTCGCATAATGTATGCCCGCAAAAGATGGCAATGGGAAGTTTGGGAGTTGTTTTGGTGGGACAGGGGCAAACCTCTTAAAGTATATGGAGTACCTAATGGTATCTTTGTGTGTCCTTTTCTCCAAAACCACAGTGAAGTCCTCCACACTCCAGATGGAGGACAGCTCCTGCTAGACTGGGCTGGCCAGCCTGACAACAGTCAATACCCTGACCCTGCCACCCAGCCCATTGTGTTACTGCTTCCTGGTATTATAGGCAATAGCCAGGAGACATATATCTTGCATCTAGTTGACCAAGCTTTGAGGGATGGTTATAGGTAAGGATGGACCCAACCCAGAGGAGCAGGGTGGTATCTGAGAACTGGCAATAGGGAGGTCAATGCAGAGCTATGGGGAGGTGGTGCTACCTGGAAGGCACCTTTGGCCGGGGGTCTTTCTGAAGGCTGGCAAAGGGGAGGGGCTTCTAGAGACAGCCTGGCTAAGATGTACCCGTGTGCCACAGGGCTGTTGTACTCAATAACCGGGGCTGCCATGGGGAAGAACTGCTGGTGAGTACCCTGCTTCCTCAGAACAGCTCTGAGGAAGATCCTTGGAGATCCTGGGCCCTGGGGCTCTACTTACCTCTCCTCCCATCTCCCTCCCATTTCTCTGCCTCTGGCCAGGGCTTCCCTCCTTACCCAATGACCTGGTTTGCCTCAGACCCACAGGACCTTTTGTGCCAGCAATACTGAAGATCTGGAGACAGTCGTGAACCACATAAAGCGCCGCTACTCCCAAGCTCCACTGTTGGCCGTGGGCATCTCTCTTGGAGGGTAAAGGCCGCCTGGACTTAACCCAAACGCCCAGTCTCCCTGTGTTTCTTTCCTCCTCTATGTCTCCTCTGCCCCAACTCACTAATGCAAACCCTTCTTTCATGGTCACTGGTCCAATCCTGCAGGATATTAGTGCTGAACCACCTGGCACGAATGGGGCAGGCTGCAGGGCTGGTGGCAGCACTGACGCTATCTGCATGCTGGGATTCCTTTGAGACCACCAGCTCCCTGGAGACCCCGCTCAACTCACTGCTCTTCAATCAGCGCCTCACTGCCGAGCTCTGCCGAGTTGTGGACCGGTAGGGTCTTGGCAAGTGGGAGGGGGCAGCAAACAGGGTAGGATGGCAGGCATGCCAGGTCCTCCCAGTGCTTGGGTCAGTTCTATCTGGGCTTTTTCACTCATGAAATCAAAGAGGCCTGGGGCTCTGGGTCAGGTCCAGGAGGAGAGCCAAACCTGTGCTCTTTTGCAGAAACAGAAAGGTGATGGAAAAGGAGGTCAATGTAGACTTTGTGATACAGGTATAGTCTTTCAACCATCTCCCCTCTTCCAACTACTCTTCCATTATCTTCCTATTCCTTATCCTTAACCTAGCCTATCCCACCCTCCACAGGCCCGCACAATACGTCAATTTGATGAGCGCTACACAGCTGTGGCCTTTGGCTATAAAGACTGTACTACCTACTACCAGGCAGCAAGCCCAAGAACCAAAGTGGATGCCATCCAGATACCTGTGCTCTGCCTCAATGCAGCGGACGACCCCTTCTCCCCAGCCTGTGGTGAGCACCCCGAATCTTGATGCTTTAGGCCCGAAGGACAATGGGCCACGTGGTGTAAGTGGAGAGAGCCTGGGTTCTCAGACCTCCTCTCCAACCCCTCCTCCAGCCTTTCCGCTACAAGCGGCCCAACAATCGCCCCACGTCGCCCTGCTCGTCACAGCCCAGGGCGGCCACATCGGCTTCCTGGAAGGCCTCCTCCCCTGGCAGCACTGCTACATAAGCCGCCTCTTCCATCAGTACGCCAAAGCCATCTTCCAGCACTCGGCAGAACTGCTGGGCCACAGGGCTCTGTCACCTTCCGAGGGAGGCAAGAGCTGACAACAGTGCCGGTTGGGTCTCAGTTCAGTCTTCCCTGTTTATTAAATATCAACTTTTCCTGTCAAACGGGCTGAGGTTCACTTTCCCTTCTCTCAAAGCTAGGGTAGACCATCTAGGAACTTAGCCTGGCTGGCTGAGAGCTACCCAGCTGAACCCACAGATTACTGCCTGGGTCTTCCTTTTGCTCCTTCCTTCCCAGGCAGGTGTTTGCCCCAGCAAACACAAGGGGCTCATGTGAAGGACAATGGGCCACAGGTTGTGAGGGAGGAGAAACGGATTGCTTCTGCAGAAAGGACAGCAGTGACTCCAAATTCTGGGGCACCTTCACATATTTCTGGAGAAAGGATAAGCTCAACTCTGGAGCCCCTAGCAGACAGAGGAGAGGAGGCAGGTGGTGTGGCCTGGGCTGCAGACACCACTGTCCTGAGTGGATCCAAAGATGAATTCAGGGTTCCCAGAACTCAGTCACACAAGGCCACAGTCAAGCTTTAACTGGGAAGGGCAGGCAGTTCCTGTCAGGTCTCCTCAGAGGCCACCTCTGCTGTGGACCCAGGTAGACGTGGAGTGAACAATGGTGTCGGGGCCTCCACTCTGGTCCAGAAGGTGGCAGAGTCCCAGGCCCCTGGTTCCCTGGGAGCAGGAGACTAAAGAAAACCTGGAAAGGCACTCTGGAGCAGCAGAATGGTCATGACAATAAGCCCAACACATAGCAGCAGCAGGAGCCACACAGGAACACTCCCTGCAGGGGAGAATAAGAGAAGAAGTCAGTGGGCAAAGGGGCTTCACATGCCAAAACACAGAACCCTCAACCGACTCCATTCAAGTAGGGGACAGATGGCTATAAATGAGCAGCCCATTCTCCATGAGGCAAATTTTTGCTACAGCTAAAGGTGGGGTGGAACCTGCCCGCCCCAATGACTCACGTCGTGAGGGTAGCAGGTGCAGCTGGCAACGACTATCCACAGCCACAGAGAACAGGGCAGTTTCGTGGGACCCAAGGAGCTCTGGACCGCGACCCTTCTCGGGTAGAAAGGCCACGTCCGTCACTACAATGCCATGGGCCTCCCTCACGTAGTACAGGCGCTAAGGACAGGAGAACAAGGGAAGGAAGGCTCAGTGGGAAACATTCCTTCTGGAAACATGTCCCCTGCCCCCCAGGCTTCCCTCTATAGGCTGGGCCAGACTCCGCCCTGCACTCATGGTAGAAGCAGGCCTACAGTCCCCACCCCAAAGAGCCCCCAGGACTGTGCCCACTTCTACCCATTACCTGGAGAGAGAAAGCTATGTAGATGGCAACAGATCCAGTGACTGTGCCCAGGCCTAGGAAGGTGCCCGATTCACTGCAACAAACAACAGAGCGTTCATTGTCCTGGAGGCCTGCGCAGCAACACTCCTTCACTAACAAGAGTCCTCAGGGACTCCAGCAGGACCTTGTGGAGCTCCCCAGCCACCCTCACACCAAGCCACGCCAGCACTGTCTCAGACCTGACAGTAAGGCAGGAAATGACTTCATGGCCACAGGGTTTGGTCCGAAGAGGCAAGAAGGTAGAGCCGTCCCAGGCTGTGAGGTAGCAGGGTGGGGGCTGGCGCAGACGCTTGTAGGGAATCTGCACTGTGAAGAGTCGTAGCCCCGTAGGCTGGTCTGGAACCTGCCCAAACCTGGGGGCCAGTGAGAAGCGGTTCAGCGCCTGGGGCCTGCCCAGCCCTCCTCAAGAGTTTTGTACCCTCCTGCACCCTGGTTAGGCCCGAGGTAATACTCGCCAAGGCTACCAGCTTCCCCCAAGTCTTTTCCCACTCCCCTTCCACACAAAGGTTGAGCCTTTGAGCCACCCTCCAGGACCTTCACACCTGCAGGCCTGGTAGCGGTAAGGCGTGTTAGAGAAAGTGGGTCCGTTCTCTTGCCAGTGCAGCTGTGTCACCAGCTGATCCTTCTGCCACACGAAGGCCTTAAGGTCCCAGCCCACAGTTACCAACTGGTCAGGAATCAAGAGTTCGAGGAGGGACAGTTAGGAGATCCACGTACAGAACAAGCAGCATCACCACCTTTTGCCACCCTCTCGCCTCCTCACCTTGCCATCCGGCCCCAAAGCCAGGTCCTCAATCTCCCCTTCGTGGGCTTTGAACTCCAGCACTTTCTCTAGGCTGGGTACCTGCAGCCAAACCACCACCATGGTTATAACGCCCGGGTACCCACTAGAGCGCGGTGCTTCCCACCGGCTTCTCTTCTGAAGGCCGCTCGCCGCAGACTTCGCTCACTACTTCCCAGAACCCACGTTCGCTTTCTCGCAATTCTGGCCTTGCTGCTGAGGACGCACATCCTCCCTCACCCCCGAAAAACCGTACCTTCCAGACGCGCACGCAGCCATCGGTGCCTCCCGTGGCCAGCAGGGTGTTATCGTGGTTGCAGCATACAACTTTCTGCAGCGGATCCGGGCTGAAGTCTGTCTGCACCGCCTGCAAATTCTCTACTCTCAGTTCCACCCCCTCCTGGTGGGTTTCAGCTCCAGATTTCGTCTCTGGGGGGGCCGCCCCCTTTCTTTGTCGAGGCCCCTGCTCCTTGGTGCCTGCCACACAAACAGCCCACCAGCGTCCAGGCTCCTGTGAGTAAGCGATACCGGCCCCCCCTCTACGCGGCTGGTGAACATCCAGCTTCCCGCCTGCGACCATGACCCCCCTTCCCGCCCCTCTCCTTCAGAGACCAAGGTGGGAACGATCTGACCCGTTTCATCCCTTTCCCAAAAGCTGGAGGGCCGGCTTCTCACCTGCCTTCTCTGCCTTGCTTTTGCCCTTCGGCTGGTGGGTCTGGAAGCGCAGGAGCTGACAGTGGGCATCCTGCCCTGCAGCAAGGATGTTGCCAGCCAGCGCCAAGTTCATAGTAGCCCGCGTCTCCGTGTCATGGGTGTGCAGCAAGGAGGCGCTCAGCCGCCCGTTAATCTGCTCCAGCTGCAGAAAGTGCTGTGGGAGAGGGGACCGGCATGGGCGAGGTTCAGGGGTGCCCGGTTTAGCTCAAGGGCAGACCTGCCTCCGGTGGTCTGATACCTGACCCTTTGCTGACCGCACTTCCTAGTTCACCAGGCTTTCTCCAGCCCCCAACCCGTGTTTTTTTCTGAACCTCACAAATCCGTACAGCAGGCCGGGCTGGGATCATTACCTCCAGTTCACAGAGCGATAGGGAGACGCTTAGAAGAGGGAAGGAGACCTAGCCCAAGGGCCACACGCAGCACGGTCGCCGCTGCTGAGCACGGCTCGGGGCTCCCAGAACAGCCAGGACAGGACCCCCCGAGCTGCTCCCGGGGTGCAGCGGAAGCGCGACTTTACCTTAGCCTCTCTCCATAGCCCTGTGCTTAAGCTCTCGGCTGAAATTCGCGTCGGACGCCCGGCTCACCGGGGATTTCCGCGGGGCGGGGG